ACACAGAGAGCCCACATGACGCACTCTACATCCTGGTGCGGTTTGGAAGAATTTGTCAATGGATGATAGGACTTGCAATCACTTCGCTCACTTCCTGAGACCATTGAGACCCTCGCCAATGACTGATCAAGACCAAACTTGGCACACAGAGTCCCCATGACCCACTCTACATCCTGGTGCACTTTTGAGGAGGACAGACTATAGCTGATGGGACTTCAAATACCTCCACTCCATTACCAAGACTGCTGCAACCCTCATTAATGTCCGATCAAGACCAAACTTGGCACACAAAGCCCCCATGACTCACTCTACATCCCGATGCTGTTTGGAGGAGGACAGACGATGGATGATGGGACTTCCAGTACCTTCACTCACTTCCTGAAACCACAGCGACACTTATCCAAATACCAAGAAAGACCAAACTTGGCACAGAGAGCCCCATGGCCAACTCAACATTCTGGTGAGGTTTGGGGGAGAACAGACTATGGATGATGGAACTTGCATTTCCTAAACTCACTTTCTGAGACCGCTGTGACCCTCATCCAATGATTGATCAAGAACAAAACTTGGCACATAGTTTTGCAGTTTGGAGGAGGATGAACCATGGATGATGGGACTTGCAGTACCATCACTCACTTCCTGAGAAAATTGCACTTGGGACAGAGAGGCCCCTTGGCCAACTCAACATTCTGGTGAGGTTTGGGGGAGAACATACTATGGATGATGGGACTTGCAGTACCTGAATTCACTTTTTGAGATCACTGTGGCCCTCAGCCAATGATTGATCTAGAACAAAACTTGGCACACAGAGCCCCCACGACCCACTCGCCATTCTGGTGCAATTTGGAGGAGGATGGTCCATGGATGATAGGACTTCAAGTACCTCCACTTCCTTCCCAAGACTGCTGCAACCCTCATGCAATGACTGATCAAGACCAAACTTAGCACACAGAGCCCCCATGACCCACTCTCCATCCTGGTGCAATTTGGAGGAGGATGGACCACAGATGATGGGA